GGGCGTGGAGGTGGGGAGCGGGCGGGGCGCCGACATAGGGAAGCAGCCCCGCGAGGAGCCTCGGTGGTGGGGAACCCCTGGGATGCTGGGCAGCTATCCGGGTGCGCTTCCCCACTCCAGCCTCCACCCAGCGACTTACCTTTAGGGGGCTCCTTGATCCCCAAAGGCCTGGTCCCGCTACTTTGAGTGCCACAGGCTCATGATAGGTGGGAACCCTAGTCCTTTGCCAGAATATTCCTGAATGCAGAAACCAGACCTCCCCAGAGGGGCGGGGTGGGGATTGGAGACACTGGTAAAAGAGAAACATATTGGGTAAGGACTGGGCTCAGTGATTTCTGAAAGAAGCTATGTAGTTCATAGTTCATGTAGTTCACCGGGTAGCTAGAAACTAGGGGTCCTCATCGTTCCTCTGCCTGTTGGGGGACGGGGGCAACACTGTGGGCAGGGTGGCACTATAGGATATTGCCTTGGCTCCCTGTACCTTTTCCCACTGTCAGCTTCTCCACCTTCAAAGAATAAAAACTAAACCTGGAAAACACAGGTCACTTAAGCAACTTGTCAAAGTACCCTCATTTAACAGATGGAATTCTGGAGCATGGCTTCCACAGTATTGAATCTTACGTAGAGGCAGGGAGAAAATATAAGCCCTCTAAATCCCCTTTCTGGCTCCTTGAGTCAAGCGATGCCTATAGCGGCAAAGTGCTTTACGATATGAAAGCACAGTTCTGCTTTCTTAAAACTTGCAGGAGAATGCAGCATTCTTTTCTTTATGGCCCAAATTGGATTTTGAATTGTATTCACAATCCTGGAGATGTGATATTTACAAAAGGCAGATCTGCAGAGCAGAGAGGCTCACTCTGCCATATTAGCCACAGTGGAGCTCCAGGGATATATTCCACCTGGCAGGAGCGGTCAAATTTGTTTTGCAAACACCAAGTTATTAATGCTCACAACATTCTAGCTGGAGAAATGAATGGGTAATGTTTTCAGACAGACTTTTGAGTGGTTGGATTCAGGGGGAGTTGATTAAGAGCAGGAAGCTCATCCAGGTTACATAACAGGCTACAAGTTGGAGCTGGAGGGAGGTAGTGTATTTAATGAACAGATTGTCATTCCAAAGGGTTAAACTGGTTCTGTTTGGTTTACATGTTTGCCTTATTATAAAACAGACTTCATACTGCAGAGACCCACAAGCATTCTCATACAAAGCTAGTGGGGATGTAATTTGCTTCTAGCACTTTGGAACTCTGGCAGAATATATCCAAACTGAGCACCACTATTGCATGGTGAGCAATTCCCCTTCTAGATGCAGCCACCACAGAAACGGGGTTGTATGTTTACCAAAGAAGATGAGCTGGGATACCACACTACTGTATTTATGCTAATTAGAAAATGCCCAAATGCCCGTTGGCCCAGCCTGGTAATATAATCCCAGCTATTCTGGAAACAGAGGCAGGGGCATGGCAAATTCAAGGGAAGGCCAGTATGGGCTACAGAGTAAGTTCAAGGCCAGTCTGGGCAATTTAGTGAGAGCCTCCTCCAAAGAAAAAGTAAAAGGAAGGCTGAAGATATGGCCTAGTGGCATTGGCACTTGCCTCTAGCATCTGTGAGGACCTAAATCCAATCCCTCCACTGAAAAAAGAACGGGGACTGAAATGTGGTGAAGGTGGTGATGGTATTGCCACAAACCAGGATACCAAGCTACCAATGAGAATGTATGAAGCACTGCTGTGCTGAGCATGGCTGGAACTCATGAAGAAAGAGAGTAAAGGGAGGCAAACAGTCGTAAATGTTGATTCTGTCTCAATAACGACTAGAACAGGCAGCACTAATATGTACTATCAGGAGTCAGGCTAGTGGTCGCTAGTGAACTGGAGGGGAGTTTCCGGCACAGATAAGAAGGGTTGGCAGGGTTCAGATACTGATCTTGACCTGGGTGCTGGTCACATGGATTTACTTGTTACATTTGTGAAAACTCGTTGAACTGCTCACCTGTAGTATGAACACTTACTGGATACAGGTCTCACTTCAATGAAAAGTTAAAATATGGGTTTCTCATATTAAAAAATGTTTACATTGTTAAAAGAAATACACAAAAATAAGTATGCTTTCCCTTTAAACAAATTGCTATGAAAAAAAAAACACTTAAAGGAAATATGCCTCAAAAACAAACATGAGTCAGTCCCTACCCTAAAATTAAAAATTCACATTTTGACCCACTTCCAGCCACTTGCATTGTCTTCTTGACTCACAGATCAACGTCATTTTGACAGCAGCTAAAGAAGAGGAAAATGGCTAGGACCCGAGGCCTCCAGTCAGAGGCGGAGAGCTCTCTGTCCTTCCCAGGAAGCAGTTCTGACTACCTGCCTCCTACTCAGCGACTGTCTGATAACATAAAGGAAGACTGTGGGTGGTCAAGATTCCTGGTTAAATATTTATCCAAAGTAACCAGAGAGGGGGTAACTTTGGCCTTTACCCAACAGATTCTTTGAGCTGGTGGCAGAGTTTGATTACCAGGCACAGCACAATTAACAAATAGAGCAGAGACTGAGAAGAGAGAGTAGGTACCCTTGTATCCTCTCACTGGAGGGCCCTATAGTCTCAGGTCTAGGTCAGGGATATGGCATAGGAGGACAGCCCTCAGCTGTACTCCTTAGGACTTTAAATGCAGTTGACCTGTGGCCAGATAGTGTGCGGACATAACATAGGATGCTCTAAAACAGATTCATTATTTACCAAAGGCAGAAGAGCATGGCAGGAACATGGGGGTCTGGCACCAGTGAAGACAGTGGGCTGATGATACAGAATATGAAACAATCAAAATAAGCAGCTAACATTTTTAGATTTTCACATACTTTATATTTCCATAATTTCCCAGGGCAACTCACAGTGAGAAGTGCAGATGAAAAAAAAATTGAGGCAAAAAAACACTGACTAGCTTCTCTCAACATCCAATCATCCCTGAAAACAAATATACAAGTAATATTATACAGACTTGACAAGTTATATTTAGGAATATATATGTATATACAAATACATATATGCATATAACAATAATTAGTGTAAAAAGAGTTCTTAAATTTGAAGGAGAGTAGGGAGGGTGTATGGGATGGTTTTGAGGGGGGAAAGGGAAGGAAGAAATATTGTAATTAAGCTATAACCTCAAAATTTTTTTTAAAAAAGATGTCACTATGTTAAGAAAAACAAAACAAACGAAAACACCTTACAAATAAACATTATTTTGTACATACAAGTTCAGTGAAGAAAGCTTAGGTTATAATGAAGTAACAAACAGCACCCAGAGTATCAGTGGTTAATACAGCAAAAATTTACTTCTTATAGTAATGTGTTCATCAGTGAAGTAGAGACTCAAGTATGTACTCAGAGCTTTTTGGGGCTGAGGGAGGGCATTCTGAATCAAAAGCATCTTAGATGCCCAGTCTAGAATTGATGTATACCATTTCTGCTCTGACTTATCAATATAAGTGTTTACATATTGTACCCAGAGGGTCAGGGGATACAAGCCCAGGAAGAGAAGAGTTGGAGATACTTGGGGGAACATCACTAATGATTACTGCACCTGCTGATTCCAGACCCTGAACAGAAAAGGAGAACAAGAAGTGGCCTTGGCCCTCTAGGTATTCACCCCCAGTCAAAGCAAAGTGGTCTTATTGACAGTGATAAAATTCTCCCTTTCTGGTGTAGGCGTTGGTAGATCTAGGTGAGAAATTCGTCACTGCCAACTTGAGTGAAGTAATCGTGTGATACAGAAACATTTTTCTTCAGAACATTTTGTTAGCGGTAATGGTGGTAAGCTGATTTCACAATGGAGGAGATAAATAAATCATGCATTCTCCTGAGGGGCAAGAAGGCCCTCTTTTGTTAAAAAAAAAATCACTGAATGAAGACAGTTGGGTATGCTGTCACTTTGTTCAATGAAAGTTACAAATGGCAGTTTAATGAAAAATGAAACCAGACTTTGGCCTAAACCAAGATGAGGATGGTGGGACCAACCCTTTCTGAGAATGTGTTCCAGTTTGGAAAGGGCTGAATGTGGCTCTTGGCCAATACAAATAGTTAGAAAATCCAGAGGAAGCAAAAGGCAACCCAGTCAATCTGCACACTAGGATTAGCTGGTGAAACTCACCACCACCCTGGCTGGCAATGAGCAATCTCAAGGCCATGGGTTTGGGGTGGAGTAGTAGAAAGAGGCTCTTTTCCAGTTATTGAGAAAGAAGACACTTTACAGGCTTAGGACATATTCAGCTCAGCACTAAGAACTCCAAACAGCCATGGCCCTTCTGGGTTGGGGAGGGTGGTAATCTATGGTATCCTGGCCACTCAATTTTAGGTGGATTTTCTTGCCTTTTGAAACCATAGGGCTCATTTCAAAGGTGAACATCTGGAGAAGAGAGGCTTCCCATACTAGCCTAGTTTGCCTTCTCTATCTTCTTTTCCCTGGAGAAAGATCCTGGGAGACTATTCGAATATTCTCTTTCACCTCAGCCCTCCTCCACTAACTGGAGCGCCCATTAGCTCTTGCATGCATCAGATCTTACTGTGGTATTGTTATTTCCCTCATTTCATCTTCTATATAAATGAGATTCATGTTTGTGCTGGATAATTTTATGTCAATGTGACTCAAGCTAAAGTCATCTGAGAGGCGGGAACCTCAATTAAGCAAATGCCTCCATAAAATCAGGCTGTAGGCAAGCCTGTAGGGGCATTTTCTTAATTAGTGATTGACGAGGGAGGGCCCAGTTCACTGTGGGTGATGCCATTCTTGGGCTAGTAGCCCTGGGTTCTATAGGAATAAAGGCTGAACAATCCATGGGGAGCAAGCCAGTAAGCAGCACCCCTCCGTGGCCTCGGCATCAGCTCCTGCCTCTAGGTTCCTGCCCTGCATGGGTTCCTGTCCTGGCTTCCTT